CTCCTTCAACAATTACACAATATGAAAATACTCTCCCACTTCCCCTGATGGCGTCCCGAAGATGGCCGACCCCCCCCCCCGCGTACTGTTTTTTTACACAGGATTCCCGGGAAACGGGTTTTCGCCTGCGTTTTTTCCAAAATGCTGCTCTCGCTGAGGCGCCGGCCTCATTTCTGCTCCCGAATCGTTCCGAATCGTGCTCCCGCTGCAGCGTGGGCCTCATTTTCGGATCGGTGTTTGGCCTCCGTCGTTCAGGATGGCGTTCTCGCCCCAGCGCGGGCCTCTTTCTCGCGCGCCCATCCGCCCGCCACCACCGCGCCCCACCACCACCACCACCACCACCACCACCACCACCACCACCACCACCACCACCACCATCACAACCACCACCAGCACAACCACCACCACCACCAGCACCACCACGACCACCACCACCACCACCAGCACCACCACCACAACCACCACCACCACAACCACGCACACACGCACGGACGCACGCACGCGCACCACCACCCACTACGCACGCGCGCGCGGAGCCACAGGTCCGCTACGACACGCGTCCGCGGATAGAGAAAATCAGCGCCATGGTAAGGGATGGGAGGGAGGGGTAGGACGTCAGATATGACGCGAGCGCACCTAGCTTGACCCCACCCCTCTCTTCTTTCCCCCCCCCTCTCTCCTGTCCCCCCCTCTCCCCCCCCCCTCTCATGCCCCCCACCCCCTCTCTCCTGGGGGCTGGCAGGGGGGGGGAAGGTGCCGAGCACTTCATTCGTCAGGTAATGACGTCCCCCCCTCCCCTCCCCCCCTCCCGAGCAGAGCTGAAGCTCATGCGGAAGCAGAGCTTCAGCCCAGACTTCTGAAACTCACACGCTGGATCGGCGGATTTCTGGGACGTCGTCCACGAGTGCGATGGGAGAGGAGGAGGAGGAGGAGGAGGAGGAGGAGGAGGAGGAGGAGGAGGAGGAGGACTAATCTCAGGGTCCCATGTCCCTCGGGGCCCCATCTCTGGGCCGCCGGCAGGAGCTCGAGGAGGCGCACGGGCTGCTGGACGAGGAGGGTCTGCTGAGCAGCGCCGCCGGCGCCCGGGTGTTCACCCACATCTCGGCGGCGCGCGCAGGGCTCTGCGAGCTCCCAGTCTCAGGAGGGAAAACAAAAACACGCACAGACACAATTCATCGTCGATCCCCCTAGAAAAGGTGGGAACATATGGGAAGTGGTGGGGAAGACAAAATCAGAGAACATTCGGGAAAATGTGGGGAATTCTTTTATGTGTGTATTTATTTGTGTGTCCCAGGGCCCCTTCATAGTCCTACGTCGGGCATGTCCTCTTAGACTAAGTCTAAGTCTCCTAGACGTAATTCCTATAAGCCCCTCCTACAGGAGGAATGCTCAAAGATAGTCGAAACATAGCTTGGGGACGAGGTTGAAATGTTTTAAATCATGTTTGAGCATTTCTCAACAATCCTGTGGTGTTGAGTCCTCCCGCGGCACAGGATTCGGCACTTCCCTCCCCAATCAGTCCTCTCAAATCATCCGTTTCGGCACATCCCTCACACGTTTCGTGGCCCCACGGGAGCTCCACCGAATGCGGTGCGTACAAAGACGGTACAATTGCATATGGTTGGGTCTTGCATACAACTCACAGCTGCACACAACTCTCAAGGTCCCAGTGCCACCGCCCAGATGCGTCACGCACACCTATTTCGGCACACCCCTCACACGTTTCGTGGCCCCATGGGGAGCTCCACCGAAGCCACCGCCCGCGTGCGCCACGCACACCCATTTCGGCGCACCTCTCACACGTACCGTGGCCCCACAGGGGGCTACACCGAAGGCCCCAGTGCCACCGCCCGCATGCGTCACGCACACCCATTTCGGCACACCCCTCACACGTTTCCTGGCCCCACAGGGGGCTCCACCGAAGGCCCCAGTGCCACCTCCCGCATGCGTCACGCACACTGCGTCACGCACACCCATTTTGGCACACCTCTCACACGTACCGTGGCCCCACATGGGGGCTTCACCGAAGCCCCCAGTGCCACCGCCCGCGTGCGTCATCTACACCTCACACGTTTTGCGGCCGCATAGGGAGCTCCACCGAAGGCCCCAGTGCCACCGCCCGCATGCGTCACACACACAGACACCACACACACAAACGCAAACACAAACACAAACACAAACGCAACCACACACACAGACACAGACAGACACACAGACACACACACACACAGACACACACACACACACACACACACACACACACACACACACACACACACGCGCGCGCACGCGCACGCGCACGCGCACGAGCACACGCGCACACGCGCACACGCGCACGCGCGCACGCGCGCACACGCGCAAGCGCGCACGCGCGCACACGCGCACACGCGCGCACACGCGCACACGCACACACGCACACGCGCACACGCGCACACGCGCACACGCGCACACGCGCACACGCGCGCACGCGCACACGCGCACACGCGCACACGCGCACACACCACACACGCACACACGCACACGCACACACGCACACGCGCACACACGCGCACACGCACACACGCACACACGCACACACGCACACACGCACACGCGCACACGCGCACACGCGCACACGCGCGCACACACACGCACACGCGCACACGCGCACACACGCACACACGCGCACGCGCGCACACGCGCGCACACACACACACACGCACACACGCACACACCCACACACGCACTCACGCACACACGCACACGCGCACACACACACACTCACACTCACACACAGACACAGACACACGGACACAGACACACAGACGCACACACACACAACACACACACAACACACACACACACACATGTCGGCACACCTCTCACACGTACCGTGGACCTGAAGGGAGCTCCACTGACGGCCCCAGTGCCACCGCCCGCATGCGGCACGCACACCCATTTCGGCACACCTCTCACACGTTTCCTTGCCCCACAGGGGGCTCCACCGAAGGCCCCAGTGCCACCGCCCGCATGCATCACGCACCCAAACACACCCGTTTTGGCACACCTCTCACACGTGCCGTGGCCCCGTAGGGAGCTCCACCGAATGCCCCAGTGCCACCGCCCGCATGCGTCGCGCACACATATTTCGGCACACCCCTCACTGACCCCGTAGGGGGCTCCACCGAAGGCCCCAGTGCCACCGCCCCCATCCGGCACGCACACCCATTTCGGCACACCCCTCACACGTTTCGCGGCCGCATAGGGAACTCCACCGAAGGCCCCAGTGCCACCGCCCGCATGCGTCACGCACACCCATTCCAGCACACCCCTCCACACGTTTCGTGGCCCCACAGGGAGCACCACCGAAGGCCCCAGTGGCTGCGTTCGCATGCGCCCAACGCACCCATTTCGGCACACCCCTCACAAGTTTCGTGGCACCATAGGGAGCTCCACCGAGGGCCCCAACGGCTGCATTCGCATGCGACCACCGCACCTATTTCGGCACATCTCTCACGCGTTTCGTAGCCTCATCGGGAATTCCAGGCCCCAGTGGCTGCTTTCGCATGCGCCCACCGCGCATCTTTTTGCACACATCCACACGTTTCGTGGCCCCATTGAAATCTCTTCCGAATGCGGTGCATACAACGACGGCATTCACAACTGCATATGGTTGGGTCATTCGCCAGGTTATGTTGACTATTTTCAATTGTTCGTCAAAAACCCGCCTGCAGGAGGACATGCCCGACCTAACTCTATGAGCCTCCTGGACGGGGTCTTCTTCTTCGGAGGCCCCCACGTCAGAACATCACAAGACCGAGCGCGCTGGCAAAAACAGCGTGCCGATCATGCGGCTGCGGCTGCCTCCTCGCGCTGCCCGATGCGAGACGCCAGCGCCTCCATCCCAGGACCTCAGAGGATCGCGCCGCAGCGCCGAGAGGCTCTGGCGGTGCGGCTCGATGTGGAGCCCGATGCTCTCCACGCCGTCGTCGCCGAGGCACCGCCGACGTCGCCGACGCATCGCCGATGCATCGGCGATGCACCGACGATGCGGTGCGATCTCGGACCCCATCTTCTCCGACCCTGTCCGGGAGGCCTCCCAGGCAGCGAGTGGGCGGGGGCCTCCCGCCTCCTGCTGGGAGGACCTCGAGATCTCGAGGCCTTAAGCCTTACCTCCGAAGGCTTCTTTCTTCTCGAGCATCTCGAGGAGTACCTCGAGGAGTTGTTCGAGGGCGTCTCGAGGGCGTCTCGAGGGCTTCGAGAGGATCTCGAGGGCCTCTCGGAGGGCCGCCCCCAGCCCCGTTGATGCGCTTCGGCCCCGCTTCTGTCCCGCCAACGCGGCTGCCAGCACTCTGCACAGCAGGGGCGGCACGGGCGGCCGAGGTCCGAGACTCGCGCAGCGGCAGGTTCGGCTGCTCTCGGACAGGGAGCAGAGAGCGTCTCGGAAGGCCGGAGGGCTCCTGAAAAGCCCCGCTCGGGAGCCTGGAGACGGGGGTCCATGCAAACGGGGGCTCAGCCAGGGCGCCAGATTCTGCAGGACCCTACGAAGACCCCCTCTGGCTGACCCGGGTTAGCGAGCCGCTCGTGGCCGCAAGGCGGCCGCGCACATTGGCTGACCCGGGTTTGCGAAGATCTGCGTTGCAGTTTTTTGTCCTGCATTGCAGTTTTTGGTTTCCTGCTGACCCGGGTCTGGATTGACCCGGGTCAGAAGATCCCCGACCCGCCGCCTTCTGAGATGGCCTGCCCCCCCTTTCACTCGCCTTAGGTCGGGCGTGTCCCCCTACAGGCGGATTCTGGACGAACGCTACAAATACCAGAAACAGGCGCCCAACTAGTCAAACACATTCAAACAGACAAAGCGTCCCCATATTAGTTGCTCTGAATTCAGTTTGAATATTCCTCCTGTAGAGGGACAGGCCCGACTCAGCACTTGCCCCCCTTGGCGCGCTGCCGAACATCGCCATCGTCCGCGCCAGGAACGGCGAGCTCGAGGAGGCGCTGGCGGGCCTCGAGCTGGCGCGCGACATCCTGGAGGACGAAGGCCTGCTTGAGTCTGAGGATCAGAGGGGGAACGGGTGCCACCGCCGCAGAGACTCATCGGGTTGACCCAAAACGGGGTCCAGCGACAAGGGGGTGGTGTAACAGATTTGGTGCAATAGGTTTGTGGGGTTGCAATACATTTGAGGCGTGTAATGCATTCCAGGGCCCAAATAGATTTGTGGGGTTGTAACACATTTGGGGCGTGTAGGACATTCCAGGGCCCAGATGCATTGCTGTTTTTTCGCGTGCAATGCATGACTTGCAATACATTCCAGGGCCCAAATGTATTGCTGGCTTTTCGCGTGCAATCCATGACTTGCAGTACAATTCAACATAATTATCCGCCGCAGTAGATTTGCAATCCAATTGCCCCAAATCTATTGCACCACCCCCTTGCAGCTGGACCCCCTTTTGGGTCACCCAAACCATCGGGGGGGGGACGGGCCGACCTCCCCAGGGCGGTGGCACGCCTGAGCACCTGGGCGTCATCCAGTACTGGGTGACGCTCGGGCGTGTCCATCGCCCAGGGATCGGCAGCCCCCCCCCTCCGATTGGGGAGACGCGAGACTCGAGTTTGCCGAGCATCTGGAGTTGCCGACGCTCTTTGACGGGCCCGTCACGGAGTCTTGGCGGCCCAGTTCTCGTGGGACGTTTGCAGCGGAGCTTGCCACACATGTCAGATTGGGCCTGGGCTTCGCCGTTGCTCTTGAGTCGGGCACGTCCCTCTACAGGAGGATCATCCAAAACTAGTCGATCAGAATAGTGTGGGGACGACTTTCCGACTATGTTCTTGACCATTTTGGATTACGTTTGGAGTATGTCTTATCTTCTGCAGGGGGACGTTCCCCACCCAACACGGCTCTGCGAGCCCCTCTGGGCCAGCTCGGGGCCTCCGAACTCGGGCCTCACGCCTCCCGGGACCCCGACGGGCTCTCGCCGCGGGTGGCACCTCCTGCTCCCCCCCCCCGCGAGGAGGGCGCGGGCGTGTTCCAGAACCTCAGCATCGTGCAGGCGCAGATGGGCGACGAGGGCGCCGCGCGCGCCAGCTTCGACGCGGCGCGCCGCGCGCTGGGTGAGCAGGAGCCGCGCCTCCACGGGGGAACGGGGCCCAGCTCTCCGACGAGTCTCGACTCGGGCCTACG